ACATAAATGGCTGCTATTCAGTTTGTTAATGAAAACTAAAGAATTTATATGTGATCATCTGACACAATTAACTTGTTGCTATTACTGACAAAGTATACATACATTATCTTAAGAACAGATTTACTAACCCAGAAGATAAAGTAAAGAAATATTCAAAGTCTGTATGTAAGCAGCACTGTAGAACATGCCAACTTTAGAATTTAATAATTCCCTATACCCGAGTTGAAAAATAAATCCTGCAATGTAGAGAGATGTATAAATGGGAACCCCATCTCAACTCTGAAAAGGCTAATTGTCCCCTCATACCGATTGGTCCCAGGGATGGAATTACAATTAATTGATACAAACAGTTTATAGGGGGGTTAATTACAAATATAAATAGCAGTGCACATAATTAAATTCAAAGGTAATGGATCACATGAAACTGACTTCCAGCAAGACCTAAGGAAGAATTAATACCATACTGGTATTAACAGCACAGGGAAGTACAGGAAATAAAAACACGGGTAAGGAGAAAACTCAAGACATGCAGAGGGACACTAGTCAGAAAAATGCATACACTGAAAATATCAACAAGAGAGTCTCCAGTAAAGGACAGATTACAAAAAGAAGTAGCAATCCTATATATGGAAAACATCTAACAAACAAACACCAGGAAAGATGTTCTGACTGACACAGAACACCAGCCTGATTTTTTATGAACACCAGGCATTAGAAAAGTCTTGATTAGAAAGAATATATTGAATGCACAACATTGACAGAAACCACAGATGCAAAAATCCACCAAAACAAAAATCCTGCTGTGCTTTTAAGCACCGACATAAAAAACAGGGTAAATGCCACAATCGGAGAAAGATTTAGAGATGCTACTCTTCAAAGTCTAGTAAAACTCATTGTCAGAAATGGTGGGTTTAGAGCATAAAACAGGAAAGACTATTGATGAATATTCCATTAATGGACAAACAGGTCATGCACATATATAAACATAAGCATTTCAGCATAAAAGAGAACACATGCATGAGAGAAATAATGATTAGGAAGGCTAAAATTGTGTAAAAATATCAAATCAGAAAACCCATCGAAAAGTAGGAAATTTTAAAATATCCGTAAGAGATTGACATTACTAAGAAGTTAAATAATCTTTTAATTCCCACCCTCCCAACCTACCTTCTTGTAAAAAATGATAAAACCAACAAACATGAGCCATTAGGGGAAGCTGACACATCAAATGAATAGATACTAGAACAAGGTGATCAGCTAAAATACAGGTCTACAGAGGAGGCTGAATAAGTGCTGAGTTCTGAAGGAAATAATAAAAATGCACAGCAGCTTAAAAAGCAAGATATCACCTCTTATGCCAGATGCTTGACAGTCTGCAAGCAATGTACTCATCTTAAGTAAATGCAAAAGATGATCTAAAACTTTATAGTTAAGTCAAGTATAGAGTTAAATGTATGAAGTATACATTTAAAATAATTGAAAGCATACAGACAGGGGAATAGGGAATGATTGTTCACTGTCTTTTCCAGTAAGGGGAAACTAAAGGGCATTGAACACAATCAGTACATGGCAAGGCTGAAAGCAAGTCAAACTGTGGAACCCCTTGCCACAGGCTTTTTAGGCAGCTGAAAAGTTTATGTAGGTTCAGAAAAGGGAATGAGCAAGAACAGGAGAAAAACCCATTCTGAAGCAATAAATATTGAGACATCACCTCAAGAAACCCCCAGAGGCAAATCTCTGGGAGAGTATTATGGGAAAGCATCACTAAATGCCCTATTTTTATACTCCTGCGCACCTCCCCTGGCATTTCTGAGTTGTCAGTGTAGCAGAATAGATTTTGGGCTGATTTCCCATAGCTGTGCTTACATCTATATCTGAAAAACTGGTTGTAAAAGTCAAAAACAAGGTACCTAAAATAACATGACTCAACAGCTCTAAGCATGATACCTACAAAGAAATGCTCACCTCCTTACTCAAAGAAAACAGAGGATCAAGTAGAGAACTGATAGATTATGGCAAGCCCCAAGAAATTTCTGACAAAACCTCTTCTCACTGAAGATGCTTAGTCACAGTGACAGAATCAAACACTAATTAAAATACCCAAGTATAATAAACGTGAAATGAGTCCCTGCACAGATTTGCCTCTGGGTACTCTGCATATTACCACAATGCAAATGGTAAAAACAATAATAGAGAGGGATATATGTGAATATTTGATAAACACCACATAATTTTCCAACAAACTACTGTAGAATTTCATGTTTCTTAAGGTAAAGAAAGCTCAAAACAACATTATAAAATTCAAGGTAATGAAAAAGCATGAATATCACGAACTCTACTATCGTATGAATAAGGCAAGTCACAAAATCCCTAACATTAATGACAAGACACGCGTGCACACACATACACACAAATCTACTTGTTACTATAGAAAAGCCTGAATTTCACATAGGAAACAATTACTATGGAGTGAAACATGCTTTTTGGTAGAGTAAAAAAAGATTCTGAAAGTCCAGCACATTCAGAACTTGTTTGCCCTGTTTTGTTATCACTACAATTTGTATAAAACAGCCTACACTGTGTTCATCACAATTACTGCCACATTACTATATTTCGCTTCTACAAGTAAACATGAGTTGCAAGAAATTAATAGCGTCCAACTGACTCCCACCTCCTTCCCTACTTTGGTGCCATTTGATCAACCTGGAAACACTTGCCACAATCTTAAAATGAAATTAAACAGTGTTCACATGCACAGAGAGTATACAACATTATATACTCCACATACTTTCCAATTTGTTTCCATACTATGAGAGCACTGAAAAAGTACAAATATTAGGATGCTTTCAGGATCTGTTAAAAATAGCCTATTCTCTGGAAGTGGGGAAAAATAGGAAGGTAAGTTTGCAGGGAAAACTTAAATCTTTTCTTTTTGTTTTAGCTACCAAATAAACACTAAAACCAGTCGGCTTTGAACAAAATCAGCTCAAAGTCTATATTATAAACTGTGTTAGTACAGCCTGTTCAGCCTCACTACCTCAATCCATTCATATGTGCAAACTACGAGTTACTTATACGCTATCAGCTTGCTTGTGTGGCTAGGTTTGTCTCCAAGCTTCTTCACAAACGTGATGCAAACTCTACATTTTCAAAAGGAAGCGGTGTCACATGCATAGCTATCACAGAACATACATGAAAAAGAAGATAAAATGAAGTTTAATGCCAAAGTACCCCAAGCAGATAGCACTGCCCAACTCTGATTGTTAAAAGCTGCAATCTTCACTGTTATTTTCTCAATAAAAACCAGTCTGTGTAAGCTACAGCAAAGTACATAAATATAAGGTTACATTAGTCGCTTTCTTGGTAGTCAGTGAGCTTGCTATTGTCCATGTTCATTAATCTCTCAGAATAAACTTATGTGCAGCATTGTACATTTGTAAAGTGTTTTCAGTCTTCTTTTATTTTTTAAGGGTTGCCTATGATGAAATAAAGTTAAAATGTGCTCAAATGTTGTATCTTTTATTATTATTATTATTATTATCATCATTATCAATATTCACTGTTGAGGACAGTTATTAGTATTGGTATTCAAAATGTTCTACCTAAGACAATCCAATGTAATACTCAAGTGTAATATTCAATGAAAGGTGTTTCATCTAAGAAAAAAGTATTTTTGAAATGTTCAAATGCACTAGCTAAACAATGCAGTTCTACAAAACAAAAAAAAAACCCAAAAAACCTGAAAACAATCTTTTTTTTGGAATACTATGCATTTAAAGTCATAAATATGTGTCATGAAAGAGTCTTTACATTCAGTCATCCCCCAGTCCACTAGTAATAGCAACACACTTGAAGTTATCAGCTAACAATCATCATTGCTTTAAGCTGGTATTAAAAGGGAGATGCTTTACAAATGAAGAATATGAGATTGATCTATATGAAGCAATTGATCAACCAAATAATGTTAAAATTGGTAACATCATATTATCATAAGAGGACTAAATATTTGTTTCTCCCACTATTCAGCAAACAAAACATTTAGTAAATACTTTTACCTCTTCTCCGCCCA